CTTAATGAAGAATTTATTCAGTCGAATAAGAATTTTCATGTTACAATAGTACATGACTAATCCTAAGACTTGAGGCACAATGGTAACTTTGTGCATATTACATTCTACTTTGATTTATCCTTTTGGTAGCTAGCACTATCGTTTAAAGGGATAAGTTGGGTATTATGTTAATATGTATGGAAGTTTGTTAGTGGCCAATAAAGGATTCGACACTTATGAAGATAAGTGAATTTCCTATGTGTTTCATAGTTATTAATCCAAAGTCCTTGGCCAAGGCAGAGATGAATAGTGATTCATAACCGGGTTAATAAACATGAAATAGAATCATAGTTATTAAGTCAATTTGGGTTTCGACAAAATCATACCCAAGACTTAATCGGGAAATTAGATGTCGAAAGGATTTTACATGTATGGAGTTGTAATCGGAATAGGTTTACTCGCTATTCACTTAATACTAGATTCATGCTACTTGCTAGGTGTTACCATGATATGTGGGTTCATAAATTAAAGGGTTAATTCATGAATAAGAGTTAATAAGATTTAACTCAAATTACAAAGTGTTGTAAACCCACTACTAGTATTAAGGTGAACCTAAAAGGTCACACTAATTATGAACAAAGGTAAAGATTGTATTTCTAATGGTTAGAATTAATTGATAAATATCTAATTTGATTAGATATCAATTAAAGGAATATATTAATCAATAAGATTGATTAATTACATTTTGGATATTACTTTAGTAATTAAGGTAATTACTAAATTAATAAAGTTGAATTTTAAAATAGGATTTTAAATTTCAAAAATCCAAAATAATAATAATATGATTATTATAATATTGGGAAAATGATATAATAATAAAGTCTTGAGAAAGATTCTCAAGATTTATTATCCAATTATTATTTATATCTTTAAATATGATTTAAGGATTAAAATAATAAATATGATTATAATAAAATGGTTGTTGATGGTTGTTTGAACTACTTAACATATCTTATTATTTTCAAAGTCAAAAGTTAGTAAATACTATTTAAATAAAATTTGATTTTATTTAATATTACTAAATGTTGATTATTTTATGCTAAAATGTTTAGTATAAATATATGCAAAATGGTTTTGCATTTAAGTGAAGTTTTTGATCCTAAATTTCTAAGTGTTAGAAAGAGAAGAAAGTGTTCTTCATAAAACTTCAAGAAAGAGTTCTTAAAATTCCCAAATAAAATTCATAAATATTCCTATACAAGAAAACCGAGTCTTTTCTACTAGCGAAGGAAAGTCGTCGGAACCGGGCTTCATAGGGTGGATACGTTTAGAGGGAAGACACTTGGATTCCTCTAGCGAGTAACCTCAAGTCGTTGAAGTTACAACCGGGAACCGATTCCCTCATCCATCATCAATAGTGAAGGAGTTCAAGAAATTCGGTAAATATTTTTACTAGTATTTACTTTATAGTAACAAATCAAAATTTGTATATGATGCATGTTTTAAAGATGACGATCAGTTAATTCGCAATTAGTATGTACGGGTGTTGTATTTATACGATAAATACTTACTTTAAAAATTTTAAATTCCGCTGCGTACAGCCCGTACTGTACTATCGAACACAACACGAACGGTATAACTCACTCGTTCGGGTAAATATCTACATACATACCTCATACATAGTACAAGATTATAAGCAATGTAATACCCAGTGTAGGTCCCCCACCTGATATGTTGAAAAGACTTTGCAAGTGCTGAATAACTGATGTAGCTGTTGGAGGCTCAACTCTCCACAACTACCACATATACAAACAAATATATCTAAGTATATTTTTCTAAAAATCACAGATATCCCTAAAAATTATTAAACTTGATAATTAAATAGTAGATATATTTATATATTCTCTTATAAAATTTTATATCAAAAGCACTTCAATATCTCAATCCACCCAAATATTAAAACTTACATATAATTATGATAATTTTACGCCTAACTTCAAATAATTTTATAAATTCACATACTTATCATATCATACTGAAACTTGGTCATCATTACAAATACTCATACAAGAAATATTCATAAAAGTTTTACATTAAAAACTTGAATGTGGAGTGAGTTCTATCATATATAAAATCAACCTGACAGGCATGAGGTTTAGCATTTTTAACTCCTCCATTTTTCAACATAAAATTCTGAACTTTTACAGGTAAACTCTCAACATATAAGTATACATGTCATTAAAATTTTACATTTTTCTCATGCATATATATGTACTTATTCGAGTTTAAAATATACAGCTGAAACTTAGCATAAAAATTCGATTTACATGATAAACTTCAAAAACATGAAACTCGAGTTATACTTAATCAAATAACATGATTTTTTTTTTCTATGTACTCCTAATTTACATAAGAATACTTATTTCAATCATACTTTCCCAGTATATGTATAACATGCTAAAATTCAAATCAAAACAGGCCATATATAACATGTGATTGAGCTGAAAATAACATATCATTTTTCATGCTTAAAATTTCTTAAAATTCAAATATGTATGACATGTAAAATACATAATTATACACTTAATCTCAACTAAAACACATGATAAATATTTAGCATCTAACCTCCTTCAAGAAATTTGAAAATGAAACTCCGGAAGTTGATCTCGACCTATCTTCAGCAAGATTACTCTCGGTTTTTTTTTCTTCCTCACTCTATAGCTAAGACTTTGCTTATTTTGGTGTGATTTTCGATTCTAAGCTGATGCCCCTTTATATAGAGGAGCAAAGGAGACAACATCACCTTCTTTACATAAACACTCCATCATAATAAACTCATTAGGGCTCTTGCCATAAATGCTTTTCTAAAATCTTGCACAATTGTGAGTAAGCTTTGAAAAGTACTTGTAATGCATGATTCATCTTGTATATATCAAGACAAAACCTTTCTCTTTGACTACATCTTGATATGGCTCGAAATTAAGCTAAAATGACTCATTTATTACTTAAGAATACCTAGAAAAAATTTTATAAAAATAAATAAAGATAATAAATGGAATTCATAACTTGTAAACTTCTCCAATCTATAGTCAATGCTTAGAAAGGGCCATCATGTGATCCTAATCTGATTTCCATGATAAAATTCGTGACTTAATGAAAAATATAGAATTTACGGAACCGAATTTGGATTTAAAACGAACGTTTACCGTAAAATCGAAAATTTTCGATTTCTCTCTTTTGCTTTCTGCATTTTTCCTTTTATGTGGAAAATTTTTATTCTTATCATGTCTCATCTTATAATAACATGTCATATGATATGTATATCAATATCAAGTAATTTCATGAGAAATAATATGGTTTAAATTAACACTTTATTTTTTTTTATAAAAAATAAAACAATATCACTTACGACTTTTTACCATTTAATTTAAAATTGTGTTGATTTTCTCTTTGAAAATCCATGGTAAAGTTCATCTTGATGTCTACTAAAATATATATATATATATATATATATATAGAAATAATGTTTTTTTTTATTTTTTTTTCAAACTGAAATTGGACTTAAATTTCGACTACAATCGAAAGCCGATAAAACTCTAATATTTCAAATATAAGTTCGAATATACTCTTGATAATTTAAATAGACCTTCTTGTCTAAATAACTTATATATTTACATAAATTTAATCCTTATAACTTATCAATTATATTAATTCACATAAAAATTCTTAAGCAATTAATAGCATTTTTAATCGACTAACTCGATTTTTTTTTATTTTATTTTATTTTTTTTTTTACGAAAAACGCTTCCGATTTCACTTTAGTGTCGAGCAAAGTGAATCGGTTGTATTTATTAGTGGAACGGGATGTTACACATGGTAACATGGTAATTGGCTTGAATAGGAAATGGATCGACCAACATATTAGGTGGAGTCCAGACTGTTAACAAAGGACACGCGTAGGATCACGAATAAAAGAGATGGATGATGTGACGGATGAGAATAAAACCAAGTAACTGACGGGCATACCTATGGGTAGCCTAATAACGGAGGGACAACCCTTTTACACAGTCGACGGAGAGACAACCCTTTGAGTATATTTCATATAACTTTTCATATCATCTTACTGACTTGATCTTCGGTGGTCTAACACGGGAAACATCACCTGGCGTCTTTGCACATCTCCAAAAAGCAATGAAAATTGGTCGAGAAATTGTAGAGAGTCGGTTCGAGGTGCAATTGTACATCAGTGGTATAGTATACCATATAAAAATGGTCTCAAACTAGTTTCATACGTACTACACGGTCAGTTTACATAACAATACTGATATAATATTATTACTTCACTATTAAATAACACAGAAATGCTATGAAGCCATTGAATGGTTTTTTTATGTAGTCATTTATAACTTTGTGTATTGACACGTGTCCAATATGTATTTATTACAGGACATGTGTCAATATATCATTTGTGGATAACTATGGATGGCTCCATAAGCTGAGTCATCCAATGGCTCCATAGCAAAACCGTTAAATAACAATATTAAAATTTGAGATTCATGTGCGTTATATATGAATAATCGTCTTGCACAGGACAAGCTCCTAATTTGTCGCCCCAATTTTATGTCTTTATTAATAATATTATTTTTATTGAACAGAAAATTATTAATTATCAGAGAGTCAAAAAGCGCCTGATAAGGCTCCTACCACGCACATCCCAACACCGACGTCATTGCAGAGTTGGTCTCCCCATAAATCTTGCCCTCATGCACATTAATTGAACAACCTACAAATTCCTATATTACATTAATATTACTCAATTTATTTAATTTCAACCTTTATGAACTTGGAAACAGTCCAACGCACAACTCTTTACTCTCTGTCTCTCTCCCCTTTGAATTTTTCCCCTTGCATCAATTGACTTTCTCGTCCCTCTTTTTCATTTATTAACACTTCCTCAACTTGACATGCACTCACACACACAAACGCACACATAAATAAACCCTTATCTTTGTACCAAAAAAAATAAAAATAAAAATAAAAATAAACCCTTATCTCTTTTTCTCTCTTCCCCTCAACACCTCATACCTTCTTATCATCTAAAAAGCCCAGTACTAATAACAATAATAATAAAATAAATTCGTTACAGTAGTCATCAATGGAGGACGAGTACGACAACGTGGAGATCCCATGCTACTTCATCTGCCCAATCTCCATGCACCTCATGAAGGACCCCGTCACCGTCTCCACCGGAATAACCTACGACCGGGAAAGCATCAAGAAATGGCTCCACTTTTCCCGCCGGACCAAAACCGAGCCTCTCACCTGTCCTGTCACCAAACAGGCCCTAGACGACCCAAGCCTGACTCCGAACCACACCCTCCGGCGCCTGATCCAGGCTTGGTGCACCCTCAACTCCCTCCACAAGATCCCCACTCCTAAGCCTCAGCTCGAAAAATCTCAGATCGTCAACATATTGAAGGAGGGTGAGGAGTCGCCGGGATCGATGGATAACCTCTCGGATTCGGATCTGAGGGCGTTTTTTGGGTCGGATCTATTGGATCCGTTGATTCGTGTGTTGGGTAATAGAGACTGCAATAGTCGCGCTCGGGCGATGTTATTGTTGAAATCGGCATTCGATGTGGCCGACCCGGAACATTTGATTGGGGCCCGGCCCGAGGTTTTTGTCCAGACGACCCACATTCTGCGCGACAGGTATGCTGATCGAGATTCATGCATGCTCAAATATTCTTTTTTTTTGTTGTTGAATGAGCTTTTGTTATCACATGCTTGTGCGCGTTATGATAAGGTAAATATATATTTTTGTTTTTCACTACTTTTAGTAATATTTGATCTTTGATACATGATCGAATCAATACTGAATGACATGTGGTAAATTATTAATGATTTTTTGCAATAATATATTGATCATAGTAATATTTGATTTTAGATACATAATCATGATGTGGTAATTTATTAGAGTTTTTATGCAATAATATATTGATCATAGTAATATTTGATTTAAGATACATAATCAATTCAATGTGGTAATATATTAAAGATTTTATGCAATAATTATTGATCATAGTAATATTTGATCTTTGATACATAATCAATTCAATACTGAATGGGACATGTGGTGATTTATTTATGATTTTATGCGATAATTATTGATCAGGATCTCACAGCAAGCCTCGAAAGCGGCACTGAAGCTGCTGATGGAGCTGTGCGCGTGGGGAAGGAACCGAGTCAAGGCAGTGGAGTCTGGAGCGGTTTACGCACTTGTGGAGCTTCTCATTGACGAACGAGCAGCCGACAGACGGACGTGTGAGCTGGCGCTAACTGTGCTCGACCAGCTGTGCAACTGCGCGGAAGGGCGAGCTGAACTACTGAGCCACGGGGCAGGGCTGGCAATCGTGTCCAAGAAGATACTTAGGGTTTCGCATGCGGCCAGCGAGAAGGGGGTGAGGATAGTGGGGTCGGTGTCGAGATATTCGAGTTGTTCGAGGATACTTCAGGAAATGCTGCAGGTTGGGGTGGTGGCGAAGCTGTGCCTTGTGCAGCAAGTCGAGGCTAACAGGAAGACGAAAGAGAGGGCGAGGGAGATACTGAGGTTGCACTCTAGGTTTTGGAGAGGATCATCGTGTGTTCCTTCGCATTTGCGCGCTTCTTATCCATGAATTTTGGTTTTATTTAATTTTTTTGGATAAATTGTGGAGTTTGATGGATTGAGGAATGAGGAATGGGGCGATGTAAGTTTTGGCCCATTTTTTTGACATATGTTAAGTCAAATTATTTATAGGAATTATTGTAGTGCAATTAGTTGAAGTATTTACATGAAATTAAGGCAAGTGTATATTGGAAATGAAAGGAAAACTCTATGATGGGAGTGTTGTTTCTTCCAAAAATTGGAGTAGTGTGTATTTTCTCGCTAAATTAAGTCAATTTATTTATAGGAATTGTCATTTCTTTCAAAATTTCTATAATGGGGTTGTTGTTCTCGAAGGTTAAATTAGTGCAGTTTTGCTATGGAGCCATCGGGTGACTCGATTTATGCAGTCAACAACTCTTATTCACCAATAGTGTATTGACACGTGTCCTACAATGAATACAATTTGGACATGTGTCAATACATTAAGTGATGATTGACTTCATAAGAAAATCATCTGATGGCTCCATAGAGTTTCTGTAAATCAGTGATAGTGATA